AATGAATACCGGAATTGGGATCCAATTGGGTATCGATATTGGGTTTGTATTGATTGTATTCAGCCATGATTTGGTCAAACTCTCGGTCCAGTCGATGACACTCGCGTTTGGTGTCCAACCGGTCGGTAGTGTCCACGCAATGGCACGACTCGTGCAACTCCTGCACAGTCTTCCGGAACTCCTCGAACAACGTGAAGAACTTATCCAATATTAGGGTCAGTGTTAGGACTGTCGTCGACTTCCGCTCCAACAGCTGATCCACGGAAGACATGGATGAAGACACTGTCGATGACATTGTCTTCAATGGCATTAATCAGTGTTTAGATTGCAATCACATCCGAGACAATGGTTTGTCATTCAAATTGTAAACAAAAATAATTCACGTTTTGCTCATAAATAACGTGTAAATGAATGCCATTTGAGAATTGCATTGAATTATGAATTTTATGGCATTTATTGAAGTATTCATTAATTTATTATATTTTGTTATTAATATAAATTTATGTTCAATTTAATTATATATGTAATAAATATAACCAATACGTTTATTAACAAGTACGTTTTATTAGTTATAATTTTTACTACGTTTAATACAATAGAAATGAAATATAAAATAAAGTGACTGGCTCACAAACAGAATTTTACTTACTTTCCAATAATTGTCACAAAATCAATAAATATTAAATAAAATACTTAAATGAATTCATATTAAAATAATATTAATTTTACATGACATTGAAACAAAATTATAAATTAGATAACTTAACATCTGATAAATTTGTGGCTATATTTAAATGGTACTGGACACATTTTTAAGGAATACAATATATATTTGTTAATTTGTAACATTATTGTAAATTGTCATATGCTCCAAATGATGAATATTTACTTATATTTAAACATAATTACTTGTATAATACACAAAACAAATGTTATATTTTGGATGTCTTTAAACATTTGCAAAATCAACTCTTTATTTATTTCAATATTTCAAAACACATTTTTGAATAAAATAAATAAATTCTGTTTAAAGTTCCCAACACTTCAGGTGCTCTTAAATATATGTTTGGATTACGGAATCCAATGCTATAACAAATGGTGTAAATGAATAACATATGAATTCCAACAATAGCTGTATATACTGTATATATCATATATAAGACTTATATTATAAGTTAAACACTATTTTGACAATATATTACTGTATATTGTATAAGAAATCACAAGCAATAAAATGATTGTAAAATAAAATGAGTCTAAAAATAATATCATTAACTCCTATTCCATAGGATGATAGCGTTGGTCAGGATAGGGAGGGGGCGCCAAGTTTTCCTTGACCAGAGTCCAGCTCCACCGGTAGTCAGTGACGGCTACGTCGGCGCTATAGCGGGCCTTACCGGAGAAGCCAACCCCCGAACCCGCCTGACTGATCAACTTATAGCCAAACGATATTAACTTGCCTTCAAGATTTGGAGCAAGATACTTTTGATTATATTTCTCATCACTTACTGATAGGACATACCTATAACAGTAGCGGCCGGCAGGTTAGTGGACCAGACTTTCTCTTTAATCATTCTGGCGTTTAAGTACTTATAAAGTTGCGACTCCTCGGGCGGTATTCCCACCTGATCTCTGGCTATATATGTGGGACCATTGAGTAGGCCATCGCACCCGATGTGGTCCTGAAGTTCAGTGGCCGACACACTCGTCCAAATACGACCCGTTAATAGGATTACGACAGACATTTGTTTGTGGTATTAATTAACTGCTAATTAGTAATAAATAACTCATTATCTCATTATAAGCATTCAAATGACAAACAGCATTAAATCGATTTTCTATGCCTACAATGTCTTATAAATTACTTTTTAATATTATACAGTAGTTATGGTTTAGGCTAACAAACCCCCGCACAGAATAATTAGAAATATGAAACCTTAATGATAAGACTTTTATATACAGTACCTATTATTCATTGAATGAATGATTTTCTTTGAAAATGTGCAATAAATAGATGTTTTTTAACAAAAGGAAACCTTTCTATGAGGTTAAGGAGCGATAGAGTTTCACATAATTTATAATAACATTTTTCATAAACCCATATTTGATGAGTTATTATTAATTTTAGAAATTCTAACCCAAATAATACCTAGATAGATTATAATGTCTAGAATTTCTAGACTAGAGCTTTCAACAATTTGTTATTTTTAGCATTACTTGAACAGAATATTTCTCGAAATTATTTGTTCAATTGATTGAAATAAAAATCGTAAAAACAATTTTTCGCTCAGAATTCAATGTCAGCAATTTCAAAATGCCATCTCAAGTCAGTTGTTGGGTTCAATTCATTGATCCAAACTTCTATGAGCGCACACATCCATACAATAAGCCTTTCCCCATACCATAGCCTATCACATATTCTGTAGCATTGATTGCAGTATCTCTAAGACTTCAATCTTATGAATTGTATTCAATGATTGAATTAGTTATCCGTTATATCACGAGAGACTTACCGCCAATGGATTGTATAGTATCCGAGTTGAAGGTTTATGTGTTTAGATCTATTGAACTCTAATTAACAATTGTTGCAAAAATAATTGTATGATTTTTGCTGTAAATTATGTATAGCCAGAAATGACAACCATTGAGTGCACACAAGACTTTGCAAATAAAAACAGTTTCTGAAATCCATGCGCATACCAAGGGATAGCAATTGATATCCAGAATATTTTACTTGTATATACTGTACACTCTATCCTTTAGTTTAGTGCACAGAATATACACTTTTTCATTTGGTGCACATGAATGCACATTTACCTTGTTATTGCATTTCTAAAAGCTTATATATTAGTCTTAGTAGTCATAAGAATTTGAAATACTATGAAATAAAGTCTTATTTTATTTTTTTTATTAGTTATATTCTTGGAGCTAATTCTTAGTTAATACCACAGTATTTACATGTTTTATACAGAATCCATGTGAGAATGGCATCAATTAAGGCATTAGTATTTAAAATATAATTCCGAGTACTTCACAGAATCGATTGAATAGGTATTTGCAAATGAAGTGCGAGAATATTTGATACAAATTTGTTATATAAATAGAATTTCAATATAATATCAATTATTTAAAGATTTCTAATTCCGAGAATACAATATTTTTCATACAAATTCACTGTTCAATTTAATGCCAAGAATTTCAATTGAAATCAAATTATTCCACTCGTTGTTGAAGAACATAATAATAAAGAATAAAACTATATTCAGTGCAATACAATAGGAAAGGAAACTTTAATACCAGTAAAAGTAATATAAAAGTATATATAAAAGTGATAACAATTTGAAATGAATTCACATATCATACAAGGAGTTGAAAAAATAAAATAAAAGCTTTTTGTATAAATAGCCAACAGTTCCTTAAGTACTGTATATAAGTGTTTGGAAAATATTATCGTAAATTCATACGATATTATTTGGACATAAATATTGTTAAATTATAGCCTTTTTGTGACAATAGTTTAATTTAGTTGAAAGTTTTATTAATCAAACAAATGATGTGTTTTCTTATAATATTTATTTGTATAGATATAATGATATTGTAATTTTATATAGTTATTCTTTGAATTATATGAAATAAATTGCTTGATTAAAATTTATAATATTGAATATAAGAATAAGTATGCGTGAATAAAAATCCTTTACTAAAAATAGTAAAAATATGAAAGTTAATAAAATAACTTTTAACTTTTACAAATGTTATCTAAAAATAAATTTACAAATTACAAATCTGATAAAAAAATTTCCGATTATGCTTCAGAAAGCAAAGTTTCTACTTCTCAAATGTAGTCTTGAAAGTTGTTGTTGAAAATCCAGAAATTATTACGAATAAAACTCTTATTATATTAGATCAATACAATTTTTAAGTCTCATGTGATTATATTCATATTAAACATATTTATTATTCAGTTATAGAGTATAATTTTAATGGTAAATAATAAAGTCTCGAGTGATGTTATTTATATACCATATACTTTTGTATACATTTAAGACTTTTTATAACTTTCTGATAATGTTGTCCTGAACGCCTCAGCAAATCACAAAAATATATAATATTTTAATATCAAAATAATATATTACTTTATTTATAACACATTTCGAAAAATATCTTACTATTTGGTGCATAAAAAAGAAAACATTTTTATTGAAAAGGGTTTTTCACAGATTTATAATAAATAGGTTTCGAAATTGAAGATAATGTTCAATGAATTGTGAGCCATATATTACACGTCTCTCAATGGGCTAATGGAAAATATATGGGAATTATCACATATTTTTATCATCAAAATGATACCTAAAAAACATTTTGACTTATCGTATTGAAAGGTCAGAAAAGTGTTTTCAAATCCATTATACTGTAATATCAAAATGTTTTCCATAAGTTCATAAGAAATGGGTATTTGTGAAACCTATATGTTGAATACCGATTCCTATAGGTTTATCATATGCCTGTCCATTTGTGGCAGTACATTAATATTCAGTTTTTTATAGGAAGATTTTAAAAATAAATAATAAATAGTTTTCTAAATTGTTTTTCCCTTGTTATCGAAAAGACCAAAAAATATCGCAAAAAAATTGGAGGGAATGAAGCGAACAGTTATTATAAAAACAGGGATTTGACAAAAGCAATAGAGAAATACTCTTTTAACAATAAAATGTGTTTAATATGTGAATATAACATACAGTTCTGTATTCATTAAAACGATATTTCTATCACTTTTTCTTCCCCAATGACCCAAATCTCTTGAAAAAGTCATATAACTCTTGAAAAACAGTCACAATATTTTCATTGCTCTCTTGGAAACTGATTTTAGATTATATTCATCTCTCTCTCTCTCCCTCTCTCTCTCACACACACACACACCCTCACTCACTCACAACTATTTATTGAAGACTTGAAGACCATATATCAGATTAGAGTTTCAGAACAATAACAAATATATATTTCATTTGCATTTATATGTCATATGAAACATAATTTTGCATAAGATTTATGTTTAAAGAAGATTTAAAATTTTAATTAAATTAGTTTGCCTTTTCATATATGAGTCAAATATCTAACATTAATAAAGAATTTTATTGAATGTTGAGAATATATTTTAAAATATTTGAATATTGAAATATTAAATAAGCACACTATTGATTAACTCCAAAATGTGTTTTATCGTCAAATATAAAGTTACTCTAATATTAATATTTAGAGTCTTTTTAGACTATATTCATATGAGATTTATTTAACATTAATGATACAGCTTGCTTAAAATGAAAGGTTAATTTAGTTTTAGTATTGAGTTTAAATATCAAATGCCATCCCATAGAGGACCCAATTAGTAGCGAAACAAGATTTTTATTTTAAATAAAATAAATTCATTACATTATTTATTATTTATTATTATTATAATTATCAAGTTTTCAATTATTGTTTTTTAAAATTATATTTAAAGATTAAATATAAAAAATT